GGGGGGGGGGGGGGGGGGGCATCAAAATTGAGGCTTTACTCAATTTCCAAGCAAATCATACACCGAAAGAAAATAATCCAAACATCTAATTTCAGTAATTAAAGAAACAACACCAACCCACCAACTAAAAAGTGAAATCACCAACTGACTTCAACAATTAACCCTTCAATTACGCATTAAACAAACATAAAACCACCCAAAAGAGGAAAAAATCAAAACTTTGCGGGGGAGGAGGAGAAGGAAAGAGCAAGAGAAGAAGGCATTCTTACCAGACGGCTTTCGTGGATAGTGGATGATAGAATCAGCTTGTGGAAGAAAGGGCGTGGCATGATCAGACAACAACAGCGACGAAGTAGAAAGAGACTAAAAGGGACCAAAGGAAAGAACCGAGTCAGATCATGACACAGCGCCGGAGAATCCAAAGACACAGAAACATTGAGAAGGAAAGAAAAAGAAAAGCGTTTCAGATCTGAAGAACCTGCTCTGGTTTGATTATGGTCAAGATACTAAAAGAACACTGCTTTTCTTTTACACCAAAGTAATTCAGGGAAAAAAACCCTACCTGACCTAAAAAGAATGACCGAGTCGAGCCGATCTGCGTGTGTTTCTTCGGCGAGTCAACTCGGTTTATTCACTCGTGTGGGGTTTTTTTATTTGAAGTTTTAACTCATCAATAGCCAACCTCCCCACCAACTCCACTTTTTTTGTCTTCTTTTTCTTTTTCTTTTTTAAATATATCTCTCTTTTTCTAATAAAATTTTATTTATTTATTGGATCCTGAATTACAAAGGCATATTTTCAGAATTTACGCGTCAAAAAGAAAAAAATAATGCAAAAATACAGACTTTTTTACAAAGGATACATGGCTTTAAAAAATAAAGATTTTTCATCTATATAATTTATATTAAAAATTCGAATTTCATTAAAAATAAAAATGTAATTTTTGTTAAATATCGCAAATATATTTAGAATTTTTTAAAAATATAAAAAATCGTGTAGATAATTGTATATTTGCTGAGTCATGCTGTTAGCAGTTTGATGTTTCATGCAAACCAAAGATTCTAATAAAAATCTATAGCTGCAAAAAGTTTAAAAGAACTGGTTTTATTATTTATACCATAAACGTATTTTTTTTATATAAATCTATCTATAAAAATGCTTGGATTTCACTAGTTAATTATAAAAATAATTTTAATTAGGATGACTGATATATTCTAAATTATTATTTTTATATAATTTACCTCTTATGATCCAAATATTACATATATGGTATTTATTTAAAAAATCGTATTAAATTTTCCTGTTAATAAATGATTAATTTTTCTGTCTATTTCTTTTGCCTATATTATTATTTCTCATTTTGAAATATTTGATATATTTCATTATATTTCGTTCAGAATCGTTTGGATGAGTACTGGTAAATGTATTGCGCTACGGAAAATGAACATGTTTTTCCGATAGTGGTGCAATGAAAGATATTAAAGATGGAGGCATGCTCGTAACTATAGTCGATCGAAATGATATAATAATTAAAAAAATCCTCTAAAAGTTATTATAAGGATTCATGTTTTGAATCCGTAGTGAAACTATAAAAAAAATTCTTAAAAATATTTCGAATAGAAATATTCATTAGTCTCAGTGTTTCTTTATAGATATAAAAAGAAAATCCGTTAACTAAAACTTATCTTTATTCCGAGTTTGACTATGAATAAAACATAAACAATCAAAATATATTGAGTTACGGGTAATTCGATTGCTTCTTCATGCGGTGATTTTTCTGTTGGTGTTTATGTTCTATAATAATTATTTATTAAACATTATATATATTATGATTTCATTTTTTATATTATATAGTTTGTATGTTTTGCTATTTAATATAGTAATATGAGAGTTATTATCAATAATTCTACATTATCATTATCATGAAAAATATGGTTAAATTAAGATTAAAATGAGATGTGATAGATAATCATTTGATGATTGTAACATTTTTTTTATATTATGTGATATCCAGATGGATCGAACCGATGATTGTGAAAAATTAGATACAAATTCTAATTTGGAATGCGAGATTGGTTGACTCGTATGAGATCGTTATATGGATATGAATTATGATTAGATCTATTCACGTAAGATTTGATATCAATATTATTATATATGAAGAATAGTGTTGTTTTGATATAGTCAAACGTTGTACGTAAACTAGCATTTATAAAAACTATTCTTGGTTATGAATTATGTGATGATATTTATTCCTTTCTTATATTTCTAGATCCCTCGAGTAAGATGGACGATATAAAAATCTGGTCAGACTAATGAATTAAATAAGATTAATGATGTTTTTTTATACAATTACCTACTAGTGAAGAAATCGATTGAACTTAAAACGAGACGTGTTTACACATTTGTTTAATCATGAATATAGTAGAAAAAAATATTTATGAAAAATGTCAATTAGATCACATAATTTTATCAAGTTTCGAAATGGACCAATTATAAAATAGTACTAATAATACCAGCTAATTTTGATTAAATGGTATTAAACATAATTATCGAACATACACCGATTAAAAAAACACACACACAGAGCATGATTAATTTATAAACTAAGCTGTTTTTTTATTTACTTAGGCAGGAGGAGATACTCTGAAATGGTCGATCTGGATGTTGTCGGCTTCCAGCTTCTTGAAGTCACTTCTGTTCCTCGAGACAAAGAACTTCCCCCAATTGTATTCCTTATAGCTCGGAGGGCTCTGGCCACTTAGAAGCTCTTCCAATGGCTTCACGTCGACTTTGCTTCCCGGGAAGAAGAAGAACGGCATTGAGTATCTCTCCTTTGTCGGATTCACCACCACTCTATGCTCTGCGCTCCAATACTTGTCGTTTGTCCACACCTTCCACCAAAAAAAATATAGAGTAGAGCTTATATCCTAAAGTAATATTTTCATAAACTATATATGATAATATCCACGTGACAATATTTACGTATTCTCAAGATATATGCCCTAACAGATTCACACGACATTATTTCAAGATTATATATCACACGTGGATTCCTCACTGTGGCTCATTTAGTATCATGTTCTACACCGATGATATAAAAGAATTTTTTTCACATTGCTTTCAGCAAAGTCGGAGGATTATTTGTTGGTACTTGTATTTATTAACTACCAATATTATTGACAATCCAATTACGATCCAATATTATTCTACTAAGGTATATGCTCCCAAAATATTCCTTAGGACACCTTGAAATGTGGGTGTTAGCCTACCTTAATGTTTAAAATTGTGCTAATTTTGTCCTTAGAAGTGCGGTTTTGGCGTTAATAATGATATATTTATATATCCTCTATTGTAATTGCATGCCCATGGCTTAGAAATCTCTAATCTAATTTTTTTCCCACAACAAACTATTTGATCAATGGTAGTGTTAATATGTTAGATCATATGTAGAACATAGTTTTTAACTATTTAATAATTATAAATGCTTAGTGATTAGATGGGTCGAAGCTCATTGAACTCTGGATTATAAAAAAAATCATGATTCGTAAAAGAATCAATTCTTTCATATATCCATTGTCGAAAAGAAAACGATATTTTTATACAACTTGGTTTTTTTTCTTTCGGTTGATTAAGGAGAAGAAAGAAAAAAGCGGCGGCTAAATAGATTAGGAATGTCAATATGGGTTGGGTTATGCATGTTGATCCAACCCAATCCGATTATTGATCCAAATGGGTTAAACCCATTTAAGTAACTTTTTTAAATGAGTTAAATAGGTTTTAATCCATTAAACTCATGAATTAAATGGGTAAACCCATTAAACCCATTAAACCCACTACATCATCAATATAAACTCACTAAACTCATTATATATAGGTAACAAACTATTATATATAAATATTTAAATAGTAATATATGTATATCTATATACACATAAATATATGTATGTATATATATATATATGCCAACAAAAAATATGATACCAAATCGAAAAACTAGGTATCGTTTCGAAACGACCAAAAAACTCGGTACCGTTTTCGAAACGAATCGAAAAAATCGATACCATTTTCGAACCGAACCGAAAAAACGATATCGTTTTCGAACGAACCGAAAAGCGATACCGTTTTCGAACCGAACCAAAAAAATAGAAATCGTTTCCGAATCGAACCGAAAAACTTGGTACCGTTTTCGAAACGAACCAAAAAACTTGGTACTGTTTTCGAAACGAACCAAAAAACTCGGTACCGTTTTCGAATCAAACCGAAAAAATCAATATCATTTCCAAATTGAATCGTTCAAAAAATTGAATGGTAATGTTTCTAAATAATCGAATCGAATCGGACCGAATTTTTAAAAAAATCCAAAAAATTCGAAAAATGTCTTAAGAAAATATACATTTTCTAAATTTAATATAATATAATAACCAGTTAGTATATATTTTTATAGAATCGAATTCTCAAATATCCAATATATATATATATATATATATATATATTTATAACTATATATGTATATAAATAGTATGTAAATGGGTTAAACGGGTTTAATTGATCGAATCCAACCCAACCCATTATTGTTATTAGATCGATCCAACCCAACTCATTAATTATATGGACCCAAATGGATTGAACCCAAATGGGTTGGGTTTACCTATTTGACATCACTAAAGTAGATTTATCGACCACGACGGATTCCAACGGAATCAACACCTGCGACGGAGTGTCCGACAGAAACCGACAGAATTCGTCGGTTTCCATCGCTTGTCGTCGCAAAAAATTACTGACGGGAAAAAGCGTCGGTGTCCATCATATAAGCCGACGGATTGTATGTGTGCGACTGGTGGATTTTCCAGAATGCCAATCCCAATTCTGTTGTACTCCGTCGAAACTTTGGCTAGCGATGATAAATCCATCGCAGTGCCCGTCGATTTAGATAGATTTTCTTGTAGTATATATACCAAGATTATTGAAAATTTATTACTTTCGATTAGGTCGAATATCTCTACTAATTAGTGTTAATTGTTTATGTTTGTGATAACTACCTTAATTAAAAATTATTAAGAGGTTATTTTTATTTAGGGTTCATCGAGCATTACCTGCATACAATTGCCGATGTTGATGATCAAGGCATCAGGGATAGGCTTTATTGGAATCCATTGTCCATCCGACCTTCGACTCACTTGCAATCCTCCGACATTATCTTGTGCCAAGATTGTCAAGGCTCCGCCGTCTTTGTGGCGGCCGACACCTAGGGCTAACTCGGGACAAGGGCAAGGAGGATAATGGTTGAGCCTCAAGAAGCTTGTTTGCTCCTTGAAGTAACTTGTTAAACGGTCACCCGGTAGACCTAAACTTATAGAGATGAGTCCCAATAGCTTGAAGGCTAGTTTCTCAACTTCTCTTGCATATTCTTGGCATGCCTCTCTATAAACACATGATCAAATAAAACACAGAAAATACATGACATTTTTATATGCGAAAACAAAGGTTGGGCATTTTGTTAATATATTAAAATGAAATCTTAAATTTTAGATATAAAAATAAAATATGTAAATAGAAAATACGCAAAATAGTTTACATATCTTTTAAGTTCTTCAATTATTGTACTAGGATGTTTAATTTGATTGATGTAACGGATACCAAACATACCTACCGGAGGGAGGGTGACATTGGCATTAAATATCTATTCTTAATAAAAAAAAAGTTGGATCTTGACATTAATTTTTTTTAATGAAATGTAATTTTTTTTACAAAGTATTTTCTAAATTAAAAAAACTACATGACATCTTTAAGACAACAAACATAAAATAATTTGCTACCTAATTCATTCTCTCTATCTAAATCTGAACTTAGAACAAAAATGTGACACATTGGTACGCGTATCATTTTTTTTCTTTATATTGAATGTGAGATATTAGTGTAATAATTCTCATATAAAACTTAGTTTCTCATTCATGTAGACAAAAAAAATAAAGTTTCTTTACCATTTCGAGGACAATGTTCAATATATAGTTATTATCATTAATAATAATGGGCTGGCGGATCCAGAAATTTTTTAAAGTGGGAACAATAGTTATAAATTTTATATAAAATACAAAAAAATTAAAAATAATAAAAATATATCGTTATAAAAATATTCATATGTTCTATAACTGAATTTTATAGTCCTTTGCGTTTTAATATATTTATAATAACTTTATTTTTAACCATCTAAAAATATATCATTTTTCGGTTAAATAAATTAGACAATCATTCAAAAACTGATAACTAATTTGATTGCACAAAATTATCTTCGCAAAGTTTATCGTTAAAAACATCTATCAACAGTTACGGTGACAACGAATAAAATTAAAACTAATTTCAAAAATCTATATATCAATAGATATGAAAGATATTTTTTGGTTTCTACCGTAACACGAATAAGATCTTCAAAATTAGTCAAATTAGAAAATTTATATTCTTCTATCAAATTATCGATGCAGATAAATATATGTAATAATAAATTTATGAGTATAATCAAAATATAAAAACTAATAAATAAACAAAAAATAAGAATTAATTAAAATAAAAATCATAACATTTATATACTTTTAATTTTATTGTTAACAAAATTGGTTGTTTTTTGTGATTGAATATTAGATTTGTATATATTGTTTAGAAAAAAATTTGAATAATTAAAAAAATAGATTAAAAAATCAAGAATAAAACAAAACTAGATTTGTTTGATCCAAAGAAATAATTTTTAAAAAACAAACAGAACAAAGGGGGCCATATAACGTTTATATAGGGGGCATTTTACATTTTTTATTAAAATTTTATAAAATTTATAACTAAATCAATTTTTTTTACCTAAATTAGGGGGGCATGGGACCCCACTCCTATGTACGTAGATCCGCCCATGGGTCCAGTCACATTAATTACTCCACCAACAGTATTTTGCTACTTCACATGGATTACATGTTTTAATTTTATCAGGCGCGGTGTTTAATCTCATTTCTACAATACTATTTTTTCGAAATTGGAACAAAATTAATTGTAATACAAAAAATTCCAAAAAAAAAGCATGAAAAGGAGCATATTTTTAGCCAAAATAAAAATAAAACATATTATCCAATTTGGTAGTTTAACCCATTATTAAATGAAAATGCACCTTAATAATGAAAATACACCGTATCTATTCCGTCCCGAGTTCGAACTTCAAATTGGAGAGGAGAACACATATTCTAATTACAATCATTGTTTTCGATACCGAAATTAGTTTGAGTTTCGTACAAACGAAAAAAAAACATATTCCCATTATTTTAGGATTTCTACGGTTCTCGTTTAATTATATTAGAATTTAGGTTTCTCGGTTTTCGTAAAAATATATTCATTTTATTTTTAAGTCAAATTTCAATTTAGTTCCAGATTTTAATTTTTCTAAAAAACATTTATTGGTTTAAAAAAATACTTTTTTTCTATTTTTTTCAATTATTTGTATTTTTATTAGGTTTAATTAATTTTATCAGAAACAAATTATATTATTTGTTAAGTTTTTTATTAATGAGATGAGAATTCCTGGGATGATTAGTAAATATTTTATTAGAAACAAATTATATTATTAAAGTTATTCATATATATACAGAAAAAATAGAGAGAAAAAAAAAATTCACCTGAAACCAGGAGGGTTTTTGGGCCACTGGTTCGTGAGCATCCTCTCACCGGTTTCCTCCGGCGATGGAGACGCCGGAACCACCGTGGGATCCTGGAGGAAGAAATCAAAGACTTCCTTCCAATCTCTAACGTTCTTAGTGTGCTCTTCGTCGTGATATCCCATCGGATTCACTTCGTCCCTCTTCACCTTCCTCTTCTCCGCCGTCTCCATCCCGAAGAACTCCGCCGCCGTATCCTCCAAGCGCCGCCGCGTCTCCGACGCCACTCCGTGGTTTATCACCTGGAAAAAACCCCACCTCTCGCATGCCTCCCCAATCGCGCTTGCGATCGCGTTTGCGTTTGCGTTTGCGTTTGCGTTTGCGCCTTCCAGGTTTCGAAATAACGAGAGATCGATGATTGGGATCTCGCCGTCGGAGAAGCTTCCGGAGGTTTTGGCGGTCGGTCTGTGTTCAGGGGCTTGGACGAAAGCTTGATCGAGCTCTCCCATGGCGGTTTCTTCGGTGGGTGTGTAGAGTAGATAGTTTTGGTGGTATTGGTGATAATGGGGATTGGTTTGGGTAAACTTCAGCAATACACCTTTCCTGTCGTATGTGTATCACCGTTACACCTACCTTAAAAAATCTGGAAAGGTCTTTCCTACCCTACACGTGTAGGTTAAAAATTTGAGAATGACGCCGAAATAAAAAGAAGAAAGGGAGAGTTAGGGCTTTTTAAAATCACTTTTCGAAAATCAAAAGACATACAAAGGTGTTGAGAGAGAAACGAAATTTTGTGTGCGAAATCGAGCAAAATGAAGCGAACCTAGCGAGGAGCGAAGAAACCTAGAATCAAGAGGAATCTTTGTCTTCGTCGGGTGAAAAGGTCCAAATCGGAACGACGCATCTCGGTCGACCGGAAAAACAAATCCACGGAGGAAAATGACAGAAGATTTTTCTGCCCATGTTGATGTGAGTATTTTGGATGAGTTTTTTTCGAATTCGTTCAGATTATCTGAAAAATTGAGAAATATTTTGTGCGTATATTAATTAGTCTTATTCGCAACTTAGAATTACAAAGTTGTCATCTAAAGTAGTGGTAAATGCCACTAAATATTATATAAATATCTGTAAAATGAATTAGTCGTAATAGTATTTGAATATGTATACTAGTCGCTAATGTAACTGAATACATTTATTTTATTGCAGAGTGAGATGGAGATCTACCGAAACCAAAATCTGGATCCAGTTTGTGCATAAAAAAAACCAAGCACAAGGAGTTGTATATGCTACCAAAAACAAGTTGTAAATAAAGAGTAATAATTGTAACAAAAAAAAATAGTATCAATTGTAACCAAATTAATTGAAAAAACTACGTAGACAAATTAGAACGAATATATTTAAAATTTTGAAAAGTGTGCCTATTCAAGAAAAAAAAGATGAAATTGAAATTAATTTAAAAAGTCACGTGGACAAATTAAAACGAAAATATTTAAAAATATTTTCAATATATATATATTTTTAAATTCAAATGTAAAAGAGTATTTTAGATATTTTATGTATAAGGTTATTTAAATCATTTTACCTAAACTAGGGTGTAGAATCTGATAAAAAAATATTTTAGATTTTGAGGGGTGTATCGATGAAAGTACTGCGACGCGTGAAGGGCATTGCTGAAGTTTACCCGATTGGTTTAGCTGGTCAATTTATAAAAAAATATATCTGAAACCCGAAATATTCATAAAAACGATAATCTGAAATATAATCGAAACCCTAAATATTTTTCGATAGGTTAAATTTTTTTTTTTCTTGGTGTTAGATAGCTTTAGAGGCATCTATCATGATGGTGGTTGGTTTGGTTGGCCAATTTATAAAACTATGCCACGTGGATTTACAAAACCAAAAAAAATCAACCGAAAATTAATGTAACCCGGCCCAACCCCAAAGCATTCATCAAAACCCTAAATATTCACCTCAAATTGATTTGTTTCTTTGTAATAGACAGATTTGAAAGTACTAATGATAATGAATGGAAGGATTGACATGGGTGGTTCACTATCTTTATCAGTTCGAATCCTATCCTGAAAATTGAATAATCCTTTAGTCCGGTCATTTCATGTTTAGCGCAGTGAAATAGAGAAAAATGAGGATGGATTTGAATATGTAAGGTTTAAAAATGTCGATTGAGGATTAAACGTCATTGAGACATCCCGCAATCAATAAAAAAAGGAAATTTTTTTAAAAAAATCATCTAATTCAGAGATAACTAACATATTCATCACAAAATTTTAAAATATTCATATTCATACTGAATTAGAATTATTTTCTAAAAAATCATTTAGAAATTGAATTTTTAACGAAATCTTCGTCGGCGCCGAATTAATTTTGAAACATAGATAAAAAGTACTTACATGGTGTTTACATGACATCTACTAATTGGTCAGGTAGGATACAAGGCGGATTAATAGTAAAAAATTGTAAAAAAATTGAAAAATTGTAAAAAATTAAAAAATTGTAAAAATCTATTTAAAAACCGATTTAAAGATCTCTACTCCATCCCAATTTATATATTTTTTTTTATGAAATCGGTTTTTCAATTGCCATTTCTTTCATATATATCATCCCACCAATTATATTTATATATACAATTTTTTTACAACTTTTATAATTTCTTTACAATTTTTATATTTTTACAATTTTTTACTATTAATCTGACGTATATCTTACGTAGTCAGTTAGTAAACGCCACATAAACGTCTTTTGTTTATGTGTCAAAATTAATTCAGCGCCGATGAAGATTTTGTTAAAAATTCAAATTCTGAATGATTTTTTTAGAAAAAATCTGAATATAAATATTTTAAAAACTCGTGATCAATCGATTAGTTATATCGGATGATATTTTTTAAAATTTTTCTTAAAAAAATGTATCGGTGATAATGGGGGTCGGCTTGGTAAAAGGATATATAACATTAACATAATCGAATTCGAAATGTAAAAGGAACCAAGCAGTCATCCTCCGAATTCGAAACATGTCATGAGACAATGATGCACGTACAATCTGGAAAAAAAGGGAGCCAAAAGACAAGAAAATAAAGCTTTATCTTACGCGAATCTTTGTCCGTTTTGTCCTATATAGGTTTGGTGGTTTCCAACGAAGAATCTCGTATTCATAAATCAAGTATAAACATTATTAATACTTTATACATAAAAAAAATACAATATATTATTAGTGCACAAAGCCTAGTTAGATACGTTTCTTACTTTCACCCCTGATTTATTTAATTTGATTGAATATATCAAAATTCATAAAAGTCAAAATAAAACCATATAAGATCTCCTCATCAATTATTTCACTCTATAGTCAAATTCACAACCACTCTGCCTATTTCACTCCAATTTAGATTCAATTATGTTTATTTAATTTATTTCAATCCCATTTCACACAATCAAATCAAAATTTTATATTTTTCTTGGATATTTGATAAACATATATATTGGTATACCATATGTATTTGGGAAAAAGTGTGTATGAATATTTATGTACGAAATTTGGTTCGAATTCATGTGTTTACTAGGAATTTTTTCAATATTTTTTACATTATTATAAAAAAGGGAAAATAACATTTTCCTACACCAACTTTGCAAAATGTGACCTTTTCCTACACGAATTTTTAATTTGACAAAAAATTACACCAAATTATCAAATGTGCCAAATTGATACACGAACTACCCGATTTAACTGCAATTTCCTACACAATCCGAAAACGGTGTTAAGTGTCCATTAACCGCTGACGTGGCATGCCACGTGGCGGCTGACGTGGCACGCCACATAGATTTTTTTGCCGCATCAGCATGCCACGTCATATTTTTTAAAAAATTCCGAAAAATATGAAAAAAAAATCGATTTTTTTT